AAGGACGCGTGTGACGTCAACGTTATATTTGTTCGCACATCAGTCGGGCTCAGCCTGGGGCAGGCATGTGCGAGTTTGCCGCGGACAGATCATGCCAGGCACTGTTCCCGCTCATCTACATATGCAACAAACAAACAGCAGTTCTGAGCACCTTATGAACTCCTATAGTGTCTATACATATATGAAGTAACCCGTCCTACTGAACAAGCTCTCTTAGTATATTTATGATTACAGACAGAAAACAAGATAACAAAAATGCACTTTTAAAATCCAGAGGTTAGAGTTAAGGTTGTGATAAAATGCCTACTTCTTTGGGCTTGGTAAAAATAACGGGGCTATGGTTATATTAATATATTGGGAGGCAGTGTGTTATATTTCTTTTATCAGCCTTTACCTGCTCCATTTAGGGCTCAATCATTGCTTTGTTTTGCTGCCTCAGAAGCCGTCTGGAAAACGGTGTCTCGGTCACAATCTGGCTCCCTGTCTCCCTTTGGTTCTGGGGTGGTATCCAGCCTTACAGCTGGTACAACATACATTCCTTGGTGCTCCACACATCCACATCTTCGTTGTTTTTGCTGATACAGTCTAACATGGTTACAACTCTGAAATCCATTACTAGTAGTGACTTTGCAGAAGCTGCTAATCATAATCCTTATATCCAGTTATTCCCCTTCAGAAGAGCACAGAATGGGTCACATTCTGGTCCCTTATATTGTAAACTTTTGGAGCAGGGACTGTCCCTCACTATGTGTTTATTGAAAACCTAACAGAATGGGGCCTCAAACTCAGCTGGGGCCTATAGGTGCTACTGTAAAAGAAAAAAAAAATTATGACAGATGCCTTTGATTTTTCAGTTCCTTGATTTTAGGTGCTTGGGGTGTGTAGATTATATTATAGGTCTTGTCACGGAGGCTCTGATCCTGCTATAAGCTCCACAAGGACATTGCAGGAACAGGGCCCCAGTAGCCTGAATGTTTTTAATGAAGTTTTAAAGGGTTTGAAATACCATAACAAATATAAAAGTAAACAGTTCAGTTTCATTGCCATTTCCTAACATTCTTAAGGCTTATTAAAGGGCAGAAATCCTTTATTTCTGCATGTAAGAGGATTTTCTGTTTGAGGATGTTATAAACATGTATTGTTTATAATCTGAGCTGTTCAAGATTTTAACAAAAATAATGTCATGTCTGAAAATATGCCACTTTTGATTAAATTTCTGCCATAATCAAATGTTATCCCTTTTCAGGGAAAAATAATTAAGAATCAATAACTGACTTAAAACCAGACAATTGTATTAGCCACTACAGTGTTATTCTGCACATTCCCGAATGAAAAAACCCCAATAATGTTTTAAATATATGAGACCAAGTAAGACAAAAAATTCTAGTTTGAAAATCTTTTATAATGAATCATTGTAATGCAGTGTTGCATGATGAGTTATAGTACATGATAAAGTGAACGTAATATTTTAACTAAAATGTCCTTAGTGAGATACAATAGGATGTAACTGCAATAACAAGTTAAAGTCTATTTAACAACGTATTGCAGGATAACAATATCAGCAGACATGTCTAAAATGACTGACTCCTGCAGTGAGGTTTTCGGTAAATACCAAAAATTGGTTATTTACTGAAGATTCGGTTACCAAGATTCGGTAAATCTTCATAGCAAGGGAATTATAAGAGAAACCCAAAAATCACATGCATATTAACTGCATACTTTGACTATTGCAGTTGTGATTTAACTTAAAATACAACCCAGAATGAATTTAATTTGATTAAAAAAAAACTCCACATAATCCACCTAAATAATAGTGTTACATATAACTGCCTGAAAGAGAAAATGCACAAACCTTTGTTTTTATTTTTTCTAAGAAAATAAATTAATTAAAATGTATCTTTAATCTCAGGATAAAATAAAATATCCCCTTAATTAGTTAAGATTAATCCATATGATATGGTCACACTATATCTGATTTTGGACAAAGCACTGTGCAATATTGTAATGAACTAGCCAGTGTGGATGGATACCACTGCCCTCTACTGGAAGGAATCATAACTGCTCAGCTATGTGTCATAGGCTGTACTCTGCCAATCGCTAATGTAGTGAAGGTCTCCTTCAAGGAGTAGGGAACTATGCTTTTGGCACAGGAGATCTGAATTGTATCCCCACTGCCATCACAGAGTTCTCAGTAGCAAGGGTACGCAGTATATTAACAACAGTGAAGTCAATTAATTTTGTTAAACTAACATTATTATTATTTTTATTATTGTTGTTGTTATTTATTTTATTATCTATTACCTATATAGGGCCAAACATGCATATGGCTTTTACAAACACAAAGTTGGATAATGTCCTTCCCCTGAAGAATTAATAATTTAATTTGCACAATATAAACAATTTGAAGGCCAGGTATGCAAGAGAATTCGAGATGACCAGCAATAGAATAAAAGTGAAGGAAGTCAGGGGAGCAATTTTGAAAGAGGAAAGAGAGATCACTTGGCACACAGGCAGAGGGAATTATTTCCTATTGATGTAGGCAGGACCGCCTCCAGGGTTTTGGCCGCCCCAAGCAGCCAAAAAAAAAAAGCCGCGATCGTGATCTGCGGCGACAATTCGGCGGGAGGTCCTTCGCTCTGAGTAGGAGTGAGGGACCGTCCGCCGAATTACCGCCGAACAGCTGGACATGCCGCCCCTCTCCGAAGTGGCCACCCCAAGCACCTGCTTGGTAAGCTGGTGCCTGGAGCTGGCCCTGGATGTAGGAAACAATTCTGCATTAACAAGTATGAACTAGCACTAGCTAACTTAATAGATCCTTTCTGTCTTCCATTACAATGGAAGATTTTATAAGATTTTTGTTTCTTTATATTAAGCCCTGACCCTGCAAACATGTATGCACATGCCTAACTTGCAGGTGAGCAGTTCCATTGTCTTGTGACAATGGAAATATAAACATTATTAAAATTAAGCATGTGAATAAGTGTTTACAGGATGGGGGGCTTACATTATAAACTCTTTGGGGCAGGGACCATCTCTTTGTATATGTTTGCATGGCACCTAGCACAATGGGATCCCTGAATAAAGCACACAAAGCAGCTTTAGTTTAGAATCTGTTTCATCTAGTAATAAGAAAACACCATTATTAGCTAACACAGGTGTTTTTAAAATACTGCATTAGGGGTTACAAGTAATTAAGGGCCTGATGATCCTCTTCAAGTATATAGGTAGCAGGAAGCAAAAGCAAGCAGGTAAGGAAACAAGTGACAGTTGTTAGGTCAACGTCCACACTAAGGGTTAGGTTACATCATACAGGAGTGTGGATTTTCCACACCCCTGAGCGATGTGGCTACGTCAACCTAAATTTTAAATATGGACTATGATTCAGTGTAGCTGCTTCTCTGCTCCACACTTTAATTGCCATAGAGTGCCCATTTCATTGTGAACAGGATTCTGGGGGGTCCAAGGATAGGGTTGCCAATTTTGGTTGGAGATTTAATCACATGCCATAATCTTTACTTCAATATTAATCTTTAATTCCTGGAGACTCCAGGCCAATCCTGGAGGGTTGGCAATCTGACTCAGGGAGGTGGTGTTCTTACACAAATGGAAAAACCTCTACACAGATGGACAAACCTCTTCTGTCAGCGTAGGCTGTGTCTTCACTACTGGGTTATGCTGGGGCGATGTTGCTATACCAGTATAGTCACTGTAGTGTAGGCATGGCTTCAGTAGCATCTGCTTCTTGAGGACTGTGCTGGAAGCAGCATTAACTATGCCCTGTGCCTGATAGCCCCTATGGGGGCTAGTTTACACATGAAACGAAAGTAGGGTGACCAGACAGCAAGTGTGAAAAACTGGGACAGGGGATGGGGGGTAACAGGAGCCTATATAAGAAAAAGACCCCAAAATCGGGACTGTCCCAATAAAATCGGGACATCTGGTCACCCTAAAGGAAAGGCCTTTTGGGATAAGATGGAGTGTGAATTTAAAGCAGAATAGCTACTCCCAAATAGCTCCACATGGGTGGATGTTCTTATTTTGGAATAAAAATGTCTTTGGTTGAACTCAATCCACTTCCAAAGCAGAAAAGGCAGGGGGAGGGAGCTGCAGCCCACTTTGCCCTCTGCTCACCCTATGGAGCTGTGCAGCTGGCAGGCCCATCTGCCCACCTGGCAGGTGAGGCTAGGCAGGAATTTGCCAAGGCCGCTGAGGATGTACCTAGGGCAGGGGCCTATTTCTCTGTGTGCAGTCCTGCTGGCACAATTTGTATAATGGGGGGGCTCTGAGAGACATTGAACCAAACAGGAAACCCTGGAAACCACTTCAAGCCAGCAGTGCGGCAGCACCTCTAGTTCCACCAGCACCCGTGTTTCTGTGCATTATTCATACGTTTCTAAAGCGCAGGGAACTTGTTAGACACTGAGTTGTGCCTCCAGAGCGTTCTCCTGCCTCCAGGGCCGTCGCCTGGCAGCCGGGCTGGGCTCGCGAAGACATTCGCTGACGTCGCGCCTCCCTACTCCGGGCCGCGGCCGGTTCTGAGGTTAGAACGTCGGCGGCTTGCCTCCCCCCGCGGCCGGCGCAGTGGTACGTTCGGAGGGCGGACACGCGCACACACTCTCCCCACCAGAAGTAGTAGTACGGTCGCAGAGAGGGCCTGTGACTTTCCCTCCCCCAGGCGGAGGGAGACGCCATTGCAGGGTTGTTTGTGCCGCCGTCACTGCTGCAGGCTGGGGAGGGAGACCGCCGCGCTGTGAGCGGTGCTGAGGCTCCTGGGGACAGGGACTCTTTTCCCAGAGAGGATCATGTCCACTCCGGCCAGGCGGAGGCTCATGAGGGACTTCAAGAGGTGAGCGTCTCGCCTTGGCCGGCTCCCCAGCCCTCCCCGGGGGGTGCGTGCCGGGGTCGTGCCCTCCCGAGGGAGCACAGGGGCTCCCCTCATGCCCCCCCGTGGGGCCCCCTGGCGTCCCGCCATGCCCTGCGTGTAGCTGGCCCAGGCAGGAGCTTCCCCGCGGGGTCCTGGCTCGCCCCGGGCGCTGCTCCAAGCTCCTGGGGCTGCGTTGCGTGCGGTGGGGAGAGGGGTAGGAGCCCCCTGGCACCCCCACCACAGGGCCGTGTACCTGTGGGGCTCGGGGGTACCCGGCAGCTAGCCCCTTGTTGCTGCGGGGTGGGAGCAGCTGTGGGCGCTCCCTGGCTTGGGGGCGGGGTGGCAGCGCAGGGGGTTCCCCTGTCCTGTTCCACCCCGCTGCTGGGCTGGGGTCGGCGCTGTGAGCTGGGTGAGTCAGGCCTAGGGAGCGGCCCCGAGGCTGGCGCACAGGAGCTGCCAACACAAATCCACAAGGCCTCGGGGCCTGGCGAGCTGTGCGGGCGTTGCCCAGGTGTAAAGCAGGGGGCAGGCAGACCCCTCAGGTGTCTCGGGTATCTGCCTCCGGATCGGCCTGCCATGGTCTGGAGACCAGGAGTGACACTTGGCTCTTGTACAGCCCTCTCCAGCCACTGAGCTCAAAGGACAGGTAGGTATTGCTGTCTGTGTGGTACTTGGGGAAACTGAGTCCCGGAGAGGTGAAGTGACTTGCCCAAAGTCAGTAACAGAGCTAGGAATAGAATCCAGTCTGCTGACTCCCACAGTCTAGAGCCCTATTCACTGGACTACACTGAATCCCTAAATTCTCCAATGTATCAAGTATGTGCACCAGTATAGGGCTTCTCCATGTTTAGGATTTAATCTGCTTTATTTATCTTTGTCCCCTTTCCCCTTCCCCCATGCTGGACTGTTCTTTGAAAGGGAGACTTAATAATACAGAAACAATCTTTTAACTTTCTGGATTGTCTGCTCTCAAGGAATGCAAAAAGCTCTCTTAATGCTGGTAAGAGGGCAAAACGCTGGTTTGTCGAAACTCTGTTCCTGGGGTCAGGACTACCGGACCAGCAGTCTTTTCCCCTTGTACTCTTTGGGGCAGGGATGCTGAGCAAATTTGGGTCTATATGGTAAATGCTGTTCCTACACACACACACACACACCCCTTGATAAGAAAGTTAAAATATCCTGCCCTACTAAAGGGATTAGTTGAATCTCTGCCTCTGTAGAAAGGAGGCTGCTTTTGTTTTTGTTTAGGGTTACTTCCTCCAAAGTTCTCTACTTCTTACTGTATGCTGACATCTGGAGGCATCTATGGATAAAAGTTGCTGCTTATGTCTTTAAAACAGTGGCCACTCTCCTTTCTCTGTCAACAGCTTGCATGAGAAATGTCCAAAGAGCCTTTCGTTATACACCTCTACCCCAATATAACGCTGTCCTCGGGAGCCAAAAAGTCTTACCGTGTTATAGGTGAAACTGCGTTATATCGAACTTGCTTTGATCTGCCAGAGTGCGCAGCCCTGCCCCCCCGGAGCGCTGCTTTACTGCGTTATATCCGAATTCGTATTATATCGGGGTAGAGGTGTAATGCCTGTGGTTGTGTTAGGAAACCTGTATTATTCCTAAAAGCCACTGTTTATAGACCAAACACTTAGTTATAACATTTAAAGCAGTACATTCTGATTATATCAGAGATTCCATGATGCAATAACCCTCTAATTTAAGGGAACTGGCTGCATGATGTCAAACTTTGCTTCAGGCTGGAACTTGACAGAGGAGGAAATATTGAGCCTGTAAATATTTATGCAGGTTTCAAATATACTCTCATTATTCAAAGACTTAAGATCTTTTAAAAACAAACAAAACAAAAAAAACCCACCTCTGGAGATCACACATCAACATTCTCTAGTTGTTTTTTGTAACTTTTTTGTGAGCCTAGAAGTGAAATGCTTAGTCAATAAAGCTAACATTTTCAGAGTTTGCCTCATTTTTTGGGCCTCCGTTTTTGGGTACCTGTCTTGAGGTACTTTGTTTGGTCTTCCACCCTCCTTGCCCCCATCCTCCCAGTGCTGAAGATCGACAACTCCAGCTGAAGTGAATAAAAGCATCAGCTTGTTGGCACCTTGGCTTGTCTCAAGATGAGCACACAAAACTACTAAACACTTCTGGATTCATGTATATGCTATTCTGGTTGATAGTTTGTCACACATTGTTTAAAAATGTTTGTAAACAAGGACCTTTTTCTATACATTAGTGAAAAAAGTACGGTAGTTATATTCTGTTTAAAAATGGTAAGTGCTGAACTACAGACACTCTGGAACAACTGTTCCAGTTTATCATTTAATTACATGTGTTATGTACAACATCTATTATGCACGTAGAAAAGCCTTTTATAAGCTAATTGTTATGGGCTTTAAATTGTATGCTTTGTTTCAACATGATATGAATTAACGTGGCTGATAAATTATTGGAAATGAGTCAACTTTAATAGTATTCCTTTTTAGCTATAGTTGTATTTGCAGGTACCACAGTATTACATCCGTAAACCATGGTCATATGTGTATGATATGCATTTGTAGCTTCACATAGCCTTGTAATACAATATTAAAAGCCTGATTTGAACCTACAAAGCTGGGAACCTCTGAATTGAGCTTTAGACGCTACTTAACTCACCCATTGCATCTGGATATTGCATTATTTGAGCATAACATTTTTTAGTTCCCGTTAAACGAAAATAGGATATTAAATCTTTTTGCTTGTGGAGGGTCTCGTAGAGGGTAAAAATGAAAGTAATTATGATACCCGTGAAAAGGAATAGCTGTTGGAAGCAGTGATTTTTATTTTATTTTATTTTGTTAAAATTGGAGGTGAAGTGGAGATTTTACATGTGAGGGGAAAGTACATCTAAATAAATACATTAAAACATGGAATGGAATGTATCAGACATGTAATCTATCCATCTTATGCCTGCAAACTGAGATCACATATCTTTAAAATGTCAGAGTCTTGTCTTAAGTGAGTGGGGAATATTGTTTGTTTTTGTTTCCTGTTTCTTTTAGGGTGACATAGCAGCCAGGACCATGCAGCTTATCTGTGCGGCTATGAACTCTGATTACTGTTTGAATGTAAACTTTGTACAGTGACCAACAAGGTGGTGATGAGAAAGGGATTTGACAGATTACACACCTAAATACTGATTTTTTTCTTCCCTTTGAATAAAATTACAGAGAAATATTAATTTAATTACAGCTTTTAGTTTTGCTTGTAGAAAAGGAATGTGAATGCTATAAATACCATATTGTTCCTAGCTCTTAAATATCTCTGGACTCTGTTCAAACAAGTTAAGCTTCCAGTTCAGGCCACACCACAAATTCTCTGTAGTTAAAGACCTTCCCACAGTGCAGTGTGTGAAACTTTGTCCTGATTTAAATGCCAAAGCTATCTTCTCTTCCTGGCCAAAGTGGTAGGTAGCTCATGCTGTTGACATTTAACTTGTCTGAACTGAGCATGCTGAGAGAACAGGTTACTAGTCAAAATAGGCCTATGTGGGCTGGCTAAATTTGGTCCATATAGTATTAAAAACATAAGAAAAACCTGATCCGTGTTCCCTTCTACTAGTTTCCAATGTGTGCATCACACAAATATAATTGGTTGGTTTCCACAATAGTTACAGTTTAGATGTGTCAATTTGTGGTTATACATCATTTTCTCTTCACCGCTGTAGCCAGCGGGTGTCGTTCTGAATGCTCATTTCATCATTTGCTATGTGGTGTTTTAAACCAGATGTACAAGATGTTTCATAACTGCTCTTGTATTTGATGCTGTGTTCCATGCATGAGGAAACATATGCTGCACTTATTTATTTAGTGCTGATCTGTCTTTATATATTGACAAAATATTTGAAGAGAAAATCCTGATCTGCATCCCTTGGTGGGCTTCTGTGTCTGGAATATTTAATGTGCATATAACACTGAAGTATGTAGTCTGTGTTCCAAACCACAGCCTGAATTCTCTAGTCCTGAAGGAGAAATGGGTACAAACTCTGAATATGCTTACACGTTTCTGTCTGAGTATTATCCTGTTTTGCTTGTGTGTGTGTAATATATATATATTTAACATGTATATCTTTTCATATTCTATTTTTTTAATTGTTAGATTGCAAGAAGACCCTCCTGTGGGTGTCAGTGGTGCACCATCTGAGAATAACATTATGCAATGGAATGCAGTTATATTTGGGTAAGAGAAGACTTTTGCTCACTGTAGAGAAGATAATACTAAATGGTTAAATATAAGTTAGATAATGGCTGATTCTGTGAAAATGCTTGAGACTATGTGCATGTACTAAGTCAAAATGCTGAGTTTGAGACAAACTGGCAAAAATTAGTAAGTATGTTTTGAGGAGGAAATAGGTTTCTTTGGTCTATAGCCTTGAATACTGAGGCATAGTAGAGCACACAAGGAAAGCAGCTACATTTTTGTCCTGCTGTAGCCTTATAATGTCCATTTTCTTGTCTTTTTTTTAAATTTTGTATCCATTCATAGTGAAAGCAAGGAGATTGTTATGTTTGAAGATTGGGTAGGAAAACAAGAAAAGGCAGGGTTCCCCCTAAGAAGCACATAAGAATTCCATGCCCTTTGCAGACAAATTTAGATGTGTTAGCAGTGACCAGATTGGTTTACAATACAATTCTGTGGGCAGAACTTGTCTAGTTACATTAGGTATCTCACGGATTGGGAACCAGTTCAGTCTTTCATCATAAATCTTAGTACTTTGCTAGTGACCTTATTGCAGTTTTAGTGGAATCTGAATCTGCCCATTGATTCTGGTCATCCCCATTTTATGAAATACAGTTATTGTCCTGGATCAATTGTAAGAAATCCAATTTCTGGATTAAAAACTAAGTTACCAGTTTAATAGGAGAGTACTTTGCGTATCCTGGGAAATATCAAGGAGTTACATCTTAATTATTTACTCCCACCACCCCACCCCTATTTCTAATTTGAAGGGGATGGGGGAAGTGTGGGTGCCTGTGTAAAAATAGATAGTATGTTTATATTTGTATTTTTTATTTCTAGGCCAGAAGGTACCCCTTTTGAGGATGGTAGGTAGCTAATTTTTTTATTCCCTTCTTCTTTTGTAAATGGTCCCAGCATTGCTTTTAAGAAGGATTTTTATATTTCGTATATATAAAATGTTGTATATTGGGGTTTTTTTTTAAGCCACAATACACACAGAACTTAATTTTGAACTAGGAAAATCAAGCCAACAAACAATGTGAGTTGGTAAGGGCTTGCTGTCTAACAGAGACTACTGTATTTTGACCAAAACTCGTACCAGTGCATTGTCTTGTCTCTGCAGTGGTTGATGAGTAACTGTAAACCTGTGAAGCAGTGGCCATATCTAGAAGTGTTTATATACAGGGAGAGTGGAATGTTCAGTAGGAGATCTGAAGGCTAATACCATCAGACTGTTTCATATGTCTTATGCCTAATCACAAAGATTTTCACAGTCTCTGGTTACGTATGGCTTTGTCTTTAGCACAGGGTACAACACAAAGGTGAATCAGATTTCATTAAGAGCAAGAGGAAATAATCTTGACGTGATCTCTGTATAAAATTGTTTTAATGAAAAAGATCAATTGTAAACAAACACGAAAGAACTGTATAAGTGTAATATCTACTGTATATGCAGAAAGGGGGGGTGGTTTCAGTTCTGCAAGGAATGGTCATTACGAAGGAGGCTTTCTAGTTTCCTTGCAAGTCAGAAAATAGCTTGGTGGGTGGGTGTGTGGAGCGGGGAAGGGAGAGAGAGGTTAGGTGAAAGTGGATGGAAATTGGTTGAAATTAGTGCTAAGTGGCATACATATTCACTGGTCCTTAATAAATATTTTTCAGTAAATCAGTCTCAAGTTTTAAAGGTTGAAGCCATTTCTTATAAAAATCCATCTTTTCATGTACTGGGCTCAGCCATAGTCCATTTTTAGGTCAAACTCCCATAGATTTCAATGACTAAGCACTGGAAGGTCAGGCCTACTGAAGAGACACTAAAATAGCTAGTGGGTGATGATAGTCATTATTTTTAAATTGTTGATTAATGGTGTCAACAGAAATTCAGTAGTTCTCCTTTAAAAAAAAATTCTTCTTTAGAAGTGTTTCCAGGCAGGAAAACTTACCTTCTGATTCACTGAATCCCCAAAACTGTCAAAACAGGAACCAATTGGAAACTTTGGCTGAACAAAATGGCAGATGAGAGAGCGCGCGCGCTCTCTCTCTCTCTCTCCTTTATTTTATTTTTTTTTTTTAAACTATTGGTCACATACAGTTGTCCAAAACTTCCTGTTATCCAAATGCAGTGTCACCTCCCCGGAATCTGGTAATAACCTAGAAAATCCTCCAGTGGTCTGAACTAAGTGTCAGTTACAATTTTTAGATAACTAAAGTTGTACGCTATTTAAATAGTTGCTTTTCTGTGTATTGAGTAGGCTCCTCTAAATTTTACAAAGATGCTGATGCTATTTTTGTTCATAGCAATACGTATCAGCTTTATTGGCATTTGAAATATAAATACCATGTTGTCAAGTGTTCACAAAGATGTTTTGATACAATTATAGTTACATAATGTTTTTGTGTTTGCTTTCTTGGACAGGTACTTTTAAACTAATAATAGAATTTTCAGAAGAATATCCAAATAAGCCTCCAACTGTTAGGTTTTTATCAAAAATGTTTCATCCGAATGGTGAGTATTCAGACTTATTTTGCCAAAACAAATATAGAATAGGATAGTGTGATATCACAGCCTGAAGCTCAGCAATGTTTAACATTTTTTTTTCAAAGTAGATATACAGTATATCAAATGTTCAGTAAAAATCCTGATGCCAGGAAAGTTTTAGTTAGAAGAAGCTACTTCTGTATTCTGTAATCATTGTGTAGTCTTGTTAGCTAATGCAAATATTAGCCAGTGAGGAAATGAAATATCTTGGAAGACTATTGATATCCTACTCTCTTATAACCACTGTAGGTTTCTGAGAACTTTCCATTTTAGCAAGATGCTTTATTGCTGGGTCTCTTGTCTCCTGCTCTCACTAAAATCAAACACTTAATTTTTTTCCCTCTTATTTTTTTTTTTTCTTCTGCTCCTTCTTCTTTTTTAGGAAGGTCTTTTGTATAATCCTTTTTACTTCCTTGTTCCACTGCAACTACCTGTCTTGAATAGTGGCAATCTTCTGTTTGGCAGAGGAGACCTTGGTGGTTTTTTGTTTTTTTTTCTTATTTTAAACAAAGCTTATCAAAGCTGCTCCTTCAGCCTGCTAGAATGATGATATAATTACTCTCTTAAAAACTGAATGAACTACTTCTGAAGTTTTGCTGGCCTAAGCAGCAAGGGACTTAATTCAGACCCTGGTACCTGTCACTAGCTACCTGAGGCTGTCTACATGAATAACTTAGCTGGAGTCAATGTAGCTTAGGTCAACTTACTGCGGTGTCTACACTGTGCTGGGTTGACAGGATACACTCTCCCATCGACTTACCTTACTCTTCTTGTTCCTTGTGTAGTACTGGGGTCGACCGGAGAGCGCTCTGTCGTCGATTTAGCAAGTCTTCACTAGACCCGCTAAATCGACCCCCAGTACATTGATCGCCGGAGCATTGTGTGCATTTCTCCTTTGCTCTTTTTTTTTTTCTCTGTTCCCCTTTTTCATCAGGATTACTTGCTTTATGTATGCATATGTGTCATGATCATGCACCAATTCAAGTTAGCAGGAATCTTAACTTCACTGGGAGCAGGATGGGTCCTTAGTGCTTCTCTAGTCATGCTCCAGAGACACTTCACAAGACACTTGGTGTGAGGGGTAGATAAGCTGTATTTTTTCCCCTTCTCTAAGAAGCAGCAAAGGAGTGTAATTATACCTCTGCTATTCTAGAATACTAGTGCTCCTGTTGGGCAAACACTGAGTGAAGATCACTGGCATCATATCAGTTTGATTCAGCACTGTGGCATATGTAGCACTCTGATGATTCTTCCGTCACATGGGCCATGAGAAATGTAGGCATACCCTACCCAAATTCAAATCTGCCTACTCATTTTTCTCCCCACTGTGAAACATAAAGAATTCCAGTATCTCTTTTTTAGGTACTTCATATGGCCCTTATTCTCATAGTATCTGAGTTCCCACAATCTTTTAACATAATTATCTTCACAACACCTCTATGAGGTAGGGAAATACTGTTATCTCTGGTTTACAGATTGTCTCTTTGTGACTCAGTTTCCTAAGTGACTTGCCCAAGATCATACAAATGGAGGAGGGAATTGAAGCCAGAGCTCGCACATTCCAGGCTAGAGCCCTAAGTCCTGGACCATCCTTCCTCTCCTCTTATGTTACATATTTTGTTTGCTTTCAGTATTTTCCCCTAAATACAAGGTATAAAACTGGTGTCAGATTCTTACAAAAATGCTCTCCTCAGAAGTACACTTTATTTCCCTTTATCATGCTTCCTAAAATGTTCAGTGAAACTGAATTGTCACATTCCAATATAAATAGTGCATCCATTCACGCAGTGTTTAATCACAACAAATTAAAAATGGCCAGAGTTTTAAATAATTTCTATGTTCTGTTTACAGTTTATGCGGATGGTAGCATATGTTTAGACATCCTTCAGAATCGCTGGAGTCCAACGTATGATGTTTCATCTATTTTAACTTCAATTCAGGTAATTTTTAGCAAGCTAAGTATATGATGATTACCCTCCTTCACAAAACCGATGACACAGTGAAATAAACAGCATCAACACCAATGAAATGTACTGAAAAGTAATCAAGTCCTTTTAAGCTGATTTTAAAGACTAGTTCGTTGATGAACTATATATTCACTTTATTTCTAAGCAATAAAAATAATCCCGTCAGGGAATGCTTATAGGAGGACATTTATTTGGATTCATTTTTCTGATCATTATTATTCCAGATGTGACAGTAATGTTTGTGTATTTAAGGCCAGGGTGTCTGAGAAATGTTAACGCTTTTATTTTGAAGCCTATGTTTCGTTATGCTTATGAAATCGTTAAAGAGCCAGTATTACTGGAATCCAGCTACTTGGACTGCATTAATTTAGGATGGAACTATTTCATATGTTAGGGCTACTTCTGGGGGAATTCTGCACCAAAAAATGAAAAATTATGCACACACTATTTTAAAATTCTGCAAAAATCTGCATATTTTATTTGTCAAAATAACACAATGTAATCACTCCATTTTCAATTATTTTGGTAATTTATTTCAAAATACCTGTCAACAAGTGTGTCAACAATACACACAACAACAAAAGAGATTCCCCAGGAGTAGACAGTTAAAGAAACCCTATGACAACCTAGTTCCAGTTGGGGGGTCTTGGAGGGCGCTGTGTGTGGCCCCCGGAGATAGCCACACCCTCCTCCCCCCAGTGGCGTGGCACCCCCTGACCTAGACATCCTCACCCCCAGAGCCTTTACTCCCCTCAGCTTCTTTACTGTTCCGGCTGGGTATATGGTGTGGTGCAGCCCTGCTCTTCCTCACTCTTTGCCAGACCTGGGTCTCTCAGGCCCTCTTCCATCCCAGGGAGAATGAGGAGGCTGGGTGTTAAACTTACTGTGAGCCTGGCTCTGCAGAGTCCAGCGGCCCCTAGTGGCAGTCAGCAACTCTGCAGCCCTAATTCTGTCGGGGGGATAGGGGGGACATGAAATTCTGCATTGTGGCACAGAATTACCCCAGGAGTACAGGGCTTGAGCTAGTTGTAAAATCAACATCTTGTTGTTTCCCATGGTGTGTGGGTTTTTTTAAATGAAATTACTATCTAGAACATAATGGTCCAAGTATCTCTATTTTTTTTTCTTTCCCCGTCCTCTCACAGTCTCTGCTTGATGAACCTAATCCAAACAGTCCTGCAAACAGTCAGGCAGCACAACTTTATCAGGAAAACAAACGTGAATATGAGAAAAGAGTTTCAGCTATTGTTGAGCAAAGCTGGAACGATTCATAATAGATGACTACTTTGTTAATCTTCCTCCTCATAATCATTGTGTACAATTTAACACTCAGTAGAAAGGCTACCAGAAATTTTAAGTGCCACAAGTTCTAAGGATTTGCATACAAACATGTTTGCAAAAAAATTAAGCCCTTCAGTTTAGAAACTTTAAAAGCTTGTGTATCTTGATTAATGTACTTTTTATTGCATGGTATGAACTAAGTTATTGCTACATAAATTTGTAATATATCCTGTTTGTATTTTTTTTCCAAGTGTATAATGTTGATGTGGAGTTTTCATGAAAGAATATACACATTTTGTAAATCTGTACTTTTTCAAATATTGAATGCCTTATTTTTGAATTCTTTAGATTTTTAAATTGGAGAAAAGCACTTAAAGTTTTTATATATAAATATTACATGTAAAACTGTTAAATACATAACCTCAGTGCAAGACATTCTTTTGTTACTTTCTTTTGTATCTCTTTCAAAGGGCTTAGTTTTAGTGTTGAATCTTTTTTCTCTTGATAAATGCTAATATTATGCACTTTACAAATATGAGGAAAACCTTGCTGTGATGTGTAACTCATTAATAGTCTTCAGTGGAGACATGTCTACCTACACTGGAGCTTAATTTGGTCCTGAAAGTCTTCTTGCTCATATGTGGTAGGGAAGTATCTGCCCCATTTTACAAATGGGGAAACTGAGGCACAGATAAGTGACTTGTCTAAAGTCACACTGCAAGTCAGTGGCACAGCTGCAAATAGAACCCATATCATCTGACTCTGTCCTGTGTTTTGGCCCATAGGCCATCCTTTTTCTCACTAATACAAGCTTTATTAGTATCACTGTTTCTTACATGTATAAGATGCTTAATAGCTTGTCACATGCAGGGAAAGTATTAATAACTTAACAGGTCTTTCACATCTCATTTTAACACATATGAAATAGGTTTACTATAACTTGATCTCTGATCATCCAAAATTGCGTAATTCCTAAATAAGAGGTTTTGTGTCTTACTGTGCAAGTTGATACATAATAGGATATTATTTTTATTATTATATTTACTCTTCCTTAAATTGGGAGTATGGGATTTTCTAAATTTGTTAGTCTCTAAGGTGCCACAAGTACTCCTGTTTTTGCGGATACAGACTAACCCGGCTGCTACTCTGAAATCTGAATTTTATCTAATTGCAAAGCATTACCTAAATCTATCATGTATCACATACTGTTACTGAGATGTATTGTTGATGTTTATTTTCTAATTGTAGCCAAACAGTTGGGTCTCTTACCCATTCCACCTAGAAAACAAACTCCTGCAAGACAGAATGATTTCAGAGAACTACATTTAAATGTGATTGTAAAAGTGATATTGTCTAGTTCCATGGCTGTTTCTGAGACTTGAGATCAAATTTGTTCACTTTACAATTAAAGTGAGGTGGGGTTTTATAACTGCCACTTTAATAACTTCTCCCTGCAATCGGAAAGTTAGGTTGGGTCCCTGTAATATCACATCATCTGTAATAAAGATTTTACAGGCCCTATTTTGTCCCCAGCGATACACGTACCATCTCTTAGACTTCAGATTCCATCTTCCATTACCTGTGTACAACCGTGCAATCTCTACGGGGGTTGTACAAGTATAAGGCATGACAGTAACTGCATTTCTATCTTAGTTAACAATTTTGCTGAGGATGTACAAGCCAGCACAAACTTATTTTTATCATTAAACTAAGGACTTGTCTACACAGGGAAGTAAGTGCGAAGTAATCTAGGGTGTGAATTTAAAACATACTAGCTATTGCCTACCAGCTACCCGTGTGGACACTTATTGTGCATTGGATGCCTGCGGGTAATTTAGCTTAATCAACTTCCAAAGTGCAGTAAGCTACGGTGCACAAAGACTGTTTTAGTGTGCAGTAAGAGTGTCTACTGGGGCAGTTAGTGCAGAATAGCTAGTGTGCACCAGCTGCTATGGCCTTTTTTCCCATGTAGACAAGCCCTTGGAATACATTGAAAACACACTGGATACCGACGCAACAAAGGTGCTGATATTAATCACTTTGCCAAACTGCATTTTAAGGGCTCATTTGTAAGATGTTGTACGAATGAGTAATAAAAAGGGAGCAATGTAAATATATGCCAGTGTATTGCTCAATACTCCTCTTGAAAAAAAACAGAAGTTTAATTTGGCTTCAGTTAGAAACTAAAAGACTATGAAATGCTGGCAGGTAAAAGCAAGCTCTGCCTTTATTTATACACTGATGCAGTAAACAGTTGTATTATAATTCATCATGGACTATTTATTGACTTTTGCATGTATTGATATTAGATTTCAAAACTGAAACAGTATATGCCCAACAGAGAAATGCCATCTAGTTGAATATAGGACCTCACTTTGCTCAGCCAATTACGGTACATAATGAAAATAACTTTTTGTATTGGTCATCCTTAACATCATGTGCCTCTTCCTTCCTCCAACCATAGATGGAATGTATTCATCTAGAATGTTAATGAAGTCCACCTCATTGTCCTTCAAATTCTCTTCTGTGATGCGTATAAAAAAATTTGCAATGGTTAGGCAGCTGGTTGACTCTGACTGCTGCTGCTTATAGTGACCTGTGTTGTCTCACTGTTACCTTGAACTTCCCTCTCTACTGCATCTGCCCATGGTCTCTCATCTTATACTTAAGCTATAAGCTCTTCAGGGCTGGGACTGTCTCTTTGTGTTTTATATGGGGCCTGGCACAGCAGGGCTCAGATCTATGGCTGGAGCCCATCGGTGCTACCGTAATATAAATAACAGAACCATGGGATGTTAAGAGAAGACTTCTCCTGATCATAGATAAATTTGAAATGTCTCCACATTGAAAAAACATTGTCAAATTACTGTTTCAAACAGCACAGCATCTCAAAATGATTGCCCTGCCAATAATAGGTGTTTTAAAGCTATCAATTCACAGGTAGGCAATAAACCAAAGAAAACTTCAGTTTATGGGGAAATATTTATGAAGATAATAATGGAGTGAAGTCACTGCCGTCAAAAGATACTAAAGCAAGAGGAAGTGTTCCAGAGTGCTGGTTGGTTGAACTGAGGCAGCTGCTTTTATTTATTTATTTTCAGATGCAAAATGATCTGGAGAAGCCACTTGTAGATGAAAGGATAGAATGGACTGTAATTAATTGTTTGGGGGGATGACAGTAGTTCTCTGCACAGTTGTTTCTGGAGAATTTGGTGTACAGCAGGGATATTAGAAACGAAGCTCCTAAGACTGCGTATATTAATTTGAAATCTTTTGAAGAACATGTTCCATTATGGTACTATAAGAGCTATTTAGATGAGTAATTTATTCATGTTTCTTTCCTCGATAGTGCTAGTCTAAACTTGTGGCTATGTATTTAAACTTCTTGATAAATAAATATATGCTTTTATTTAAAACTACTGAGAAGCTTTGAGGAATGGGAATGCTTTGAATTTTCCATCCCCAGAAGCTCTTGATACAATCTGCTGCGTAAACAGATTGTTTATAGCCTTTGTAACTCAGGTGGCTGATTTAAGAGAGAATATCAAAGAAAGATGAATGGACAGAAGTTGGATTTTGTGTTAGCCCATTGCAAATATAACAGTAGTTTTATTTTTTGACTACTCTCTAAACATGGTCTTTGTCGTATTTAGGGTAACATTGCATAACTATGTGCAGTACTGGTGGACTGAGATATGGAAGTACAAGTGTCACTCTAACAACTTTTATATTGGTAGAAATGCCAAATAATTTAAGCCTGCTCATACTACCACTGAAGGAGAGGTTTGCCATTGCAGAAGCAGATCCTTAACCCTTAGGAAACTGGCCAGTTCCCAGTGGGATTCAATGTGGGCAATAGGTATTTTGAAGGGCTTTAGGGCACCATAGTAGAGATGAAGCTAGGAATGTTTCTGCTGGAAGGAGAGGCTAACTGAGGCCTCCTGCCTGAAGAGAGTCCCACTCTTCCTTCCCCTCCCCTTCTTGGGGATACTCCCTCTTCTTAGCCAACCTTCTCTATGAAATGCCTTTCCTTCCATCAGCATAGCAGGGGAAAGGTGGCACTGGTCTGCAGCAGTGAGCGAGGTGGGGGCTGGACATTTCCTTTACATGGAATCTGGATCAGCTCTGGGAGGAAAAATAGGATGGTTGCTGAGAGCAGGTAGGTGCTGTTTGGGGTTGAGAGGAAATGAGGATGAGTACTGTTTAAGTGGTCATGACAGGGATGAGGACTTCTTTATCTTTCCATTTTTAGGAGGGAAGGATGAAATGGGGCTGAAGGGCCTAAGACAAGTATCAACCACCTCAGTGTACTTGTTCTTAGCTAAGAATCTTAGGGTGCTGAGTGGGGACAGCAGCTTTTCCTGGCTTGGGTAAATAGAGTTCATTACAACTTCCCCTCTCTGACTGGTGCAGTCAGAGCTTCCCCTCCTCTGTCTACTGTAACTACTGCCTAAGAGTAGTTACTATTTCTCTCCCGACTTGGCTGAGAGATCATTGCTCATAGTTGCTTGAAATTGATATTTCTGAATTCTAAGATGCGCATTAGTACAGTGGTGGTGTTTTTCAATCTTTCGGCATCTTGTTTTAAAGGAATAGTAATTTGAAAGGATGTAGAATAAAGATCTTTAATTTTGTCCCACTTCAAAGTCCTTCCCTGTTGCTAGTCTAAACTCACTGTACCAACTTCAGTAACAACTTTTCAGCTGTAACTTTCTACATCGCTACTGAAGCATGAAAAAAGGGAAAATATAAGTAATATCATAAAAAACATGATTTTCAAAAAAGGTGGTCACATGACTGTTAAATAATGCTGACCTCCTCTAGTGGAAAAGAAATATACTCGGCTGCAGGTTTCCCTTTTGATAAGCCAGGTGCAAGTGTGAGTAGATTAGGCAGAAACCTATGGGATCTCTAGGGAAGAATATTTTGGGGAAGCAATGTGTTCAGTTTCCAAAGTCCAGGACACACACTGTCAAGGTAGTTCTGCAACTCCAAGGTAAGCAGAACACTAGCCACTTATAAGAAAGTGAGTGCAAACAATGACCCAAATTCAAAAGTGTATTTATTTACAAAAAACTGTATGCGAAAGATGGCTGCTACTCCTTAATAAGAGAGTCTCCAAAGTAATTGGGAAATGCATACAAAGTAATAAACTGTTGTAAAACACTTAGGGCCCAATCCTGCAATTGTTCTTGACATATAGCTCCCACTTCTGGGAGGTATGTATGCAGGATATCTCCAAAGGAATAACTTAGTGGTCTAAGTGTCAGGTGGTTTAGAATAGATTCTCTGCATCCATAGGTTTAAATGCTGGTTGGATTTACACCCTTAATTCTTAAAGGTAGATAAAAGCAGTGTCATAACATGTATGTATATACACACTAGATAGTGTGTGACTTCACTGGTACTATTAACGTATGTAAAATTACTTGTGTGCCTAAATGGTTACAGGATCAGAGCCATAGTTTGTAAATACTTCAGGATGAAAAGAACAATGTGGGTGTAAAATATATAGTGATGGTCAGCCTGCTCTATTGGCTGCATATTTTTACTGTAATACTTAGAATCTG